TGACCCTAGATAAAAAAAATATAAAGGTTGAGAATCAGGGTAGAGGGTTAAGTAAATAGTCGAGTGATTTCTCTCTTTTCTGTGGGAGAGCATGGTTCTAGCTTAGAGCACCTTATTTGATCCCTCTTCTACTTATCAATATCACTATTAGTATTGTATTATTATTTACTCTTCAATTATATCACTATTGTTCTTGCTAGGGTACCGGGTGCGGGTTCCCGAACCCGGTAACTTTTGTATAGACCCTATATTTATATTGAGAAATCCATTAAATATATAAAATCTATTTGTTTCTGGTAACAAAGTAAGCTCTTGGTCTAGAGGCAGAAATGGAACTTACTTAATTTTTATTTTCCGCCTCAGTGAGGGTTCGATTCCCTTGGGCACTTCCAATAAAGTCTTTTTTTTTTAAATTTAAGATCGATGAGAACCATAAACTTTAAATCTTGGATCCGCTTCTACCCGTAGAATAATCTTTCATGGATTTTGTCATCTCACCGTGCATTTATTATTATGCTACTTTAAGATGTAACCAAGCTCACAAAATATAATGGTTGTGAGGTGATAAAACCGAGGTTGGTGACTTCAAATGAACACATTGCACCAAGGAGTTTACAAGCGGTAACCGCACTCCTATCATCTATCAGACAACTAGAAAGGACCTCCTGACTGAACAAAGTGAGCGCCATCTGAGTTTTCTCTTATCAACATTCTCGCGATCCATATGAAACTAGGGTTTTTAGAATGTAATTAATATTGATGTACTTTTGCTAAGGATTTGTTTTCTTTTTTAATCATCATCTTGTTTCCCCTGATTAATACCCATTTGATGATTTCACGATTTTTGTTAGACGAGAAACATGATATCTCCCATTTTGTAATTCACCTTTTTACCTTATTTCTTCAAATGTAACTTTAGTTCTTAATGATTGATATGTCGTACATCTCGACATGTTTTAGAAATAAAGATCTCCTTCTTTAACTATTGAATACATGATCTTGATTAAATTTCTTGCTCAATCTATCTTACACTCATTTGGTATGTGCGCCATAGGGTTTTAGTATTCTGCACAGTCTTTCTATTTCAGTTTGGAGGAATCCGCAAATCGTTTCTCTACGTTTGGTGCATATACGTTTACATGTCCCGCAGTTTTGTGTTTTTTCCCTTTACAGGTTGGCCAAGGATAAATTCCAGCGTAGCAGGATCTTTTGCTTCGAGTTAACGGATTTTCTTTCTGTGATATAATTTGTTTAAGATACCACACTATCCAATATAATTTACTTCCTTAAGTGCCAGAGCTATCCAAGAAGGGAAACATTCTAAACCTCTCTTCAAATGAGCAATGACTAAATGCTATGTGCAATGCAGGTTGGGTGCCCCGGTCATTCAAGTGGTGTTCTGTACAGTCAACAAGGCAGTACTATGTTTATCTTATTACTCATTGACAAATTTAATATGGGTGTCAATTCTTTCAATTTGTGGTTTCTTCAAGTGGACAACCTTAAAAAACAATATAATTGGCAAAGTGACATATTTATTATTAATTTTTTTGAATTAGGAATATAGAATTAGAAAATTATAATTTTTTTTTTTGTTAAACTTGAATCTGAAACTTAACTGCGCGTTTCATTTAAGAATGGTAATAACTCCTATGCATTTAGAATTGTCTTTTTGTGTTTACAGTTAACCATTGCATTTATACTTTTCATCTTTTAATCCATTTGTGCCACCTTTCACTAACATTCACACTTCAAATATATGCAAAAAAAAATAAAACACATTCACACTTCAAATTGCTTAGTCCATGGACAATCTTAGCACTTTTATACTCTTTTTGCGTTTGACATTGACAATATTGTTGCAAATTGTCAGTTACTTAGTTCACTTGTCGCAAGACTCGAACTTGTGACTTTAAGTCGCAAGTTCTTCAACTTTTTCCGATTGAGCCAAGCCTGGGGGACAATTTTATTTTTTATTTTTGATGAACTTTCTCCTTTGAATCTATTCAATCTCGTTATGCTCGCAAAATAATCCATCAGCAGGACTAATTAGTCTATGGCTAATGATGTTATACATCATCAAACTGATTATGCTATGGATTTCTGTTGTGGTTCTATTTCTAATCACAACCCTTTGAACATTGTAGATGAGAAGGGTAAATTTGATGAGTTGATTGAAGAGAAGGGAGTAAAAATACTTATTGATCCTAAGGCATTGATGCACGTGATTGGTACCAAGATGGATTTTGTGGATGATAAATTGAGGTAAGGGATTTACTTGTCCGTTTCTATATTGTTGGTACTAAGCCTTTTATTTTTGTGCACAAGTGGGTCATTTTGCTTTTGGATGAAAAGGACTGGAAACACCTAATTTAAGTAATCTTACATATTTTGAACCCTAAGTAGCTTTCTCACGTGTCGCGTTATCCAACTCCCATCTGTTGCTGTTGATTTTTCTTTGGGTGTTCAGCAGTTAGTTTTGTCGTCGTCTGCTTTGGTTTATACTAATGCCATGTAACATACTCCATTAGCTGTTCTGATGTCATTGAAGGTCTAATTATTGTTTGTTTATGTGCAAATTATTCTGGGAAAGTTTTGCCATTATAAGGTTAGTTTTGAGAAATATGAAGTTATCGACTCCAGAAAACCTTAGTATCAAGACTTACTGTTGGATGAAGGAGACAAAAGTCTTGCATGTTCTTGTTTATCTTCTCGTTTATTGGATTATCAGTTCATGTTAGTTTTTTGGTAATTATACTATCTATCTGTGTTTCTTTGAGCCGAGAGTCTTTCGGAAACAACCTTTCTACCTAACAAAGTAGAAATAAGGTCTGCGTACACTCTACCCTCCCCAGACTCCACTTGTGTGACTATACTGGGTATGTTGTTGTTGTTGTACTATCTATCTGTGTTGGTTTCTGCCGATGAAAATTTCTGGGGGCAGGGGGTTCAGAAGAGAATCAAAATGTTGTTTAGCATGATACCTCAGATGCAGCAGCCCTGTGAACTGCTGCCCTGAGACAAATCCTTTAAAGATGTTTCGACTTGTCCAAACCTGTCCCTGTTTCATATGGTGTCCTCCGCAAGTAACTCTTGACGCGTTCTTACATTTTATGTGCAGGTCTGAGTTCATTTTTATTAATCCCAACTCGAAAGGGCAATGCGGTTGTGGTGAGTCTTTCATGACAACAGCCAGTAAAGGTGCTGGAAAGTGAAATGATTTTCACTGAGACATGATGTTTATAATGTACTTTTCATTAGGTAGACAAAGGATGAAATAAAGATTTATTCCTGGAATTAATATGCCATATCTTATACATATATCTTTCTATTGTGTTTATTAGATGTAAAAATTGCCAGTCATGGCATTTGTATAATCTACTGATACTGATATTACAGAAATGGAAAGATTTTCTTGGAGTTCTAAAGTTCCAGAACTACCAAACAGTAAAATTAACTTGTATCAAAGGTGTCACCTAGCGTTTAATGAAGCGGGTGAAAATTATGGGAGATTAGAGTGCAAAGTGCAGCAACAACCCCACTGCAATCACACAAGTGAGGTATGGGAAGAGCAGAGTCACGGATATAGTATTGCACCAGTATTCAAATTTCAAATATATATTATGTCCCCTCTGTTGGATATAGTATTGGAGGGTAAAAGCTTACTCACATCTGATGTAATTGTCAAATTAACGAATGCATGTTATGTGTATGAATATACACAATTATGAATTAATTATGTTAATTAATATATAAATATTCACTTTGTTAAGTTACTTGATTATGATAAATTATATTAATTTGATGTAGGTATTCAATGTCGGTAAATATTTATAGGGAGGAGAGTAGAAGTAAAAAACATGATAATGAGTGTGCTGCAACAACTCACAACCTATCAATTTTTCATAGAGTATTCTCGTTGCTGGTTCACTGAAGTTTGTCTTCCTCCCTTAACTGGACTTTTCTATAAAATAAATAATAAAGGGAAAAAAGATAATATATCATCGAGCTATCGTAAATGGTAAACATATACCCTTCGTTATATTTTTGGGACATTGGTGCCCCCGCCGTCCAAAAACTAGAGCATACATGCCCTTCACTCTAACGGAAGACTAAACAAGGACACGTGACACAATCTTATCCGTCCATCCGATATTTAATAAATATCGGGTTGATGGATAAGATTATGACACATGTATGTCCGTTAGTATAAAGGGTATATATGCTTTAGTTTTTGGACGGTAGGGGCACCAATGTCCCAAAAGTATGACGAAGGGTATCTGTATACCATTTACGATAGTTCGAATATATTTGTCTTTTTTCCCAATAATAAATAAAAAGCCACCAATGAAAAATCATCTTTAAAAATACCAAAAGAAAAGAAACCTCCAATCATAGTTCTTTATCCTTGTCTTTTCAGGTGTATGTTTATTGATATCTGACCCCGTCAACTCGATATTTTTGTTACTAATTTTCAAATAGAGATGACTTTAAGATTTGAAGTTCTGACTTTAACTATGTACAAATATAATAAAATTTATATTTAATACAATATATAAATTTTGGAGAAAAGTTATTGATGTGAACCTATTAGATATGCCTATGTTACTATACGCACTTAGTCAAAAAAATTCTAGTAGGTGGTGGTTGGTTTCTGAGATTTATGTCGGCAAGTTCCATATTAAGAGATTATTAACATCAACAATGATAAGCCTAGTAAATTAAGGGATAACTAAAGCTCTGTAAAAATGTAACTCTATATTCAAAACAAATTCAAGACAATTGATTAAAGATAAAAGAGTTTTTATTGCTCCACCGCGACCAAAAAGCCACTCCCCTATGATTGGTCAGACGAAAGTTCCATTGTGACATTGATCCTCACGTGCGACCCACTTTTCACACACCAACACACACGTTACTGTGTGTTTTTGTTGTGTTTTGTGTGAATTGTGTCTGGTTCCCCGCGCCCCCGCCCTCTCCACCCAAAGCCCCCAACCCACAATGCCGTCTTGACCCTTTTTTTCACAGAAAATCGAATCAGATTCCTTCTGTTGTCCCTCTCTGTTCACTGTTTTTTCTTGTTTTTTGGTTTGATCGATTGATGTCTTGTTGTGGGACATGATCATAATCCTATGATTTATGTGGTAAGCTTTTTGTTAAATTATTTTTGATTTTTTTGGTTTCCTCATCTGATATGTTATCAGTTTTTTTGAGATTCTTGATTTAGTAGTTTATATTGTGGAAGTTGATGAGTTAAAGATGAGATTTTTATTGTCCCAAAGGTCAAAACTTTATCTTGGTATGCTCTTTGTGTCTTTCTGATTCTTGATTTGAGTCTCAGGATTGGAATTTTTTTTAGTTAAAGATGGGATTTTTGGTTTCTAAAATATTTCCCTAAAGGTCAGAACTTTAACTTTGATTGTGCTTCTGTGTCTTTTCAGGAACCAGATTCTTGATTTAAGGTTTGTGGATTGGAAGTTGATGAGTTAAAGATGGGATTTTTGGCTTCTCAAATATTGCCCCAAAGGTCAAAACCTTAACTTGGTATGCTCTTATATTATTTCAGAAACCAGATTCTTGATTTGGGTTTTTGGCTGACTTATAGTGAGAATCAAGAAATTGTCTCTGGTAGAGTTATCATTTGCTAGTTTAGTTAAAAGGGTTTCTGGATATTACATTTTTGGTTGATAATCTGGGGTTTGATTAGCTTATGAATGAATATTTTACACCACATGTTGGCCTTTTCCTTGATAAGAATCCCTTGGATAGTATTGTGATGTAGTTTGGAGATTTAAGTGGAATTGCTTGGACTGTAACATTGTTTTCTAGGGGCCCGCTAGTTGTATTTGTTGTTCGTATTTGAGGGTATGGAGTACCTTCCTGTTGAGGTGATTGGGAACATTTTGTCCCGTGTTGGAGCTGCGCGAGATGTTGTGATAGCATCTTCTACTTGTCAGAAGTGGCGAGAGGCTTGGAGGAATCATCTTCATACACTCATGTTTAACTCGAATGACTGGCCTGTTTATCATGAGCTCACAAGGAGCAGACTTGAGATAATTGTAACTCAGACGATTTTCCAGACTAATGGACTGCATTGCCTTTCGATCATCATGGATGATGTCGACGAGTTCTCTGCTGCTCCGGTAATAGCTTGGCTAATGTATACCAGAGAAACGTTACGCCAGTTACATTACAATGTCAGGACTACCCCAAACATTAATATACTTGAAAAATGTGGTCGCCAGAGGCTAGAAGTGTTGGCTCTTGCACACAATACAATCACGGGTGTTGAACCTAGTTACCAAAAGTTCCCTTGCTTGAGGTCTCTTTCACTAAGTTATGTTAGTATATCAGCTTTAGATCTGAGTCTTTTCCTCACAGCTTGCCCGAAAGTTGAGGTCTTGAGTCTTGTTAGTATAGACATTGTCATGTCTGATCCACAGGCAATGATGGAGCTGACAAGTAACTCGTTGAAAGATATCTATGTTGAAGCCATTAGTTTGGATAAAATCATTCTGGAAGCGGATAGTCTTGAGAAGCTGCATCTGAAAGATTGTACACTTGAGGTCTTTGAGCTTGTTAGCAAGGGTTCATTGAGTCACCTTAAGATTGATGATGTTAGTGTCATCCATCTTGATATTGGCGAGAGTGCTGAAGATCTCGAGATTGTGGATGTCAGTAATTTCACAATCATGTGGTCCAAGTTCCATCACATGATAGCAAAATCATCGAAGCTAAAAAGACTGAGGCTATGGGGAGTTGTGTTCGACGATGAGGATGAGGCTGTGGATATTGAGACGATTTCCGCTTGCTTTCCACAATTAAGTCATCTGTCATTGAGCTATGAACTAAGAGAGACAGCACTTCATTATGGATCACAAGATTCTTTTCAATTGGGAAATGTGGTTGTCTTGGAGCTTGGATGGATGGTCATTGGTGACCTGTTCTCCCATTGGGTAGCAGGACTACTGGAAAGGTGCCCTAACCTGAGGAAGTTGGTAATCTATGGAGTCGTCTCAGAAACCAAAACACACGAAGAATGCCATACATTAGCCAACTTCACATCCTTTATTGTAAGGCTTATGAGGAAGTATTTGCATGTAGATGTTCAGTTCGAATATGAGTAGATTTTGAACAATTGCTGAGTTCAAAATTTTTCCTCATCTCGAGAGGGGAAGGAGGTACATGATCTTTAGTAGTGATTGTCATTTTCCGTTTATTGTTACAACATTGTTTTCTATGATAAATTTTGTCCTTCGTCAAATTTTGGACTCATCTTTTTCTTTCAATTCAAGTAAACATATCGTTTGCATTTCTTCTATCCTTGTTGTTCCTAGTTTGCGCATTGATATGAACGGCTTTATTATTGATGTCAAATGTAAAAAAATGTAGCTAAGCACCAAGACGTATGGAGGTTTAACTGCAAAGTCAATTAAAATGGTGCTTTAGTGAAAAAATAAGTGTTAAATGAAGAAAAGTAAGAAACGTAGAATGTAAAGAAAAAATTACTATAAAAATAATTTAACTGCAATGAATTGAAAAATACAAAGTAAAATTATGTCAATCAACTACAAAGACCATCTTCCGTTTCAGTTTGTTTCTTACTTTCCTTTACCCCCAAAATCCTACATGACATATTTAGACCACCAGATTCTAAGGGCATTTCGGTTCATTACTCACATCTTTAATTTAAGACCACAAGATTTAAAAGTCTTTATTTTCTTCAACTCTATTCCGAGTCAAAATAAGGCAAACAAATTGAAACAAAGGGATTTGTAGAAGCATGTCAAATGTTTTGAGATGCTTAGAAGTTTAAATGGAATGTGTACCTAAATTAGGTAAATTGGCCCTTCCCTGCCAGTTGAGTTCTCTTTGTTATTGGTTGCTTTCTATATGACGATACCAAGTCGGTTTTCCATTCAAGGAACCTTTGAGGTGTTTTTTTTTTCATTTTGTCTTTTCAACTTCTGGATGATGCCTTATGGGCGTATAGGACGACACATAAGGACTCCTGTTAGGATGTTGCTGTACTGATTGTTGTTTAAGAAGGCGTTTGTATTTGATTGTTATTTCAAGAAGGAGAAGCTCTGGCTAGAGAGGATGTGTTAAAAGAACATGAATCATCGGTTTGTTGTAAGTTCCCTTACCAAATTCTTTGTTGCTCACATTGTGCCTGCCTTTAATGAAAGTTTTAAATCTCTTATCTTTTTCTTCCGTTGTCAGCAATTTATGTGGCTCTTAGTCTTCTTCATTGTTTAATATTAGCATGAGATGAGTTTGAATGGCGTAGCATGGTCAGTGATGATTCATATATATAGCTGACCCCAATTTGTTTGAGACTGAGGCGTACTGTTGATGTTATTAGTCTTCTTCACAGCTAATCCCAATTTGCTTCTCTATGACCCCCGTCTTCTGTCGAGTCTTATGGGTATTAAATGGTTCTGCATTCCTAGTGAAACACATCACAAGTGGATATGGAGTATTCCGCAAGTTGGATGGACTAAAGGCGGATCCAGAATTTTAAATTTATGGGTTTTGGCCATAACCCTTTTTGCTTATTGAGTTCTTAATAGATCATTTATACATTACATAAATACAATGATTGAATTCTATATAATAATAAATGTAGAAAGGTGGGGGCTTTCATTAGGATGATATTCCTTTCATCCGAATGGCAAGGCTTGCTAGTTTTTGTATTACTTCTTGTTGTTAATGTTCTCTTCTTCATTCTTTTTCAACATAGCTCTTCACTATTGTATTTGCTTTACTTGTTTGATTTTTGATATGCTTTACTTGAGCCGAGGGTTTATCGGAAACACCTCTTTACCTTCACAAGGTAGGGGTAAGGCTGCGTACACATATCTGCCAGATATCTGCCAAATATGTTGAGCAAACTTTGTGCATTTTGGATTTAGAATCTATCTAGGTGAAACTGTACTTACAACGACAACAACATATCTCGTGTAAGCCCACAAGTGGGGTCTGGGGAAGGTGATGTGTGCACAGCCTTATTTATCTCTACATTGTGAAGGTAGAAAGACTGTTTTCGAAAGACTGGGTGAAACTGTACTTAGTAACTAATGTTAGCATTTCCATTCCTTTTAACAGAACTTTTTGATTGAGGAAATTGAAATGCTTGTGCTGTTTTGAGAAATGGAAAGGTGAAAGTCAAAATTTTGTTAGAAACTGGATGAAGGACAATTCTTGTAAAAAGGTGGTTGTCTTCTCAGGTTCAAATCCTAGCGGAGACACCAACAAAATAACATTAGTTAATTTCTTCTCATCTACCTAATCTTTGTTTTACAAAGTTACCCGAACAAGTGTTGATCGGAGGTAATAAGTATCTGGTGGAATAGTATGATATGCGAGCAAGCTAGCTTTGACCCCACCGCTGTGAAAAAAAAAAGTGATTGTCACACTCAAGTGTCACCTAGTGGTCAATGACGATGTTGGTTGAGAACCATGAGGTGCAGGTTCAAATTCCAGCAGAGGCGAAGACACTAGGTAATTTCTTCTCATCCACCTAAATCTTAGCGGACAAAGTTACCCAATACCTATGTTGATGGGATATAGCTGATATTCGTGAAATTGTCGAAGTGCGAGTAAATTAGCCCGGACATCACCCTATTAAAGAAAAGGTGGTTGTCTTCATTACTACAATAGATTTTGCTGCTCCACCATAGTACAACTTCCCAGTATTTTCCATAGAAAATTCTACAAGAATTGTTTGAGAGCAAGATCATAAGTATGAATTTATCCGCATCCGATGTTTACATCAATACTAATATAAATATCATTATGTCAACATGAGACGTTGAACATACCACATATCTGCACAATGTGGTGTATAAACAATGTTAAATGTATGAATAGAACTATCTGGTATCTAATATTGATGAGAAATAGTAAATATTCGATAAAATAATTGATATGTATGCAAGTTGATTCCCATTCTCCTTTTTATCATTGTTATTTGACGGATTTATTCCAAAGACTAAGATAAATATTAAGAATACAAATAAGCTGAAAAATACATCTGATAATTATTTGATATTTAGTGTTATTTATTGGTGAAATAGAGACAGAATAATAAATCATAAATCAATTTCATTGACTAAAAGAAAAAGAATCAATAAGAATCTTATTGTTTTTGACAGATTTGAATATAAAATCTTTTATTTTATGAAAGGAAATAATTAATATTAAGAATCATTTAAGAGTTTGTGCCCACACATTTTGATTTTTTTTTTCAAGTTGGTGCCTAGGTTGTATGCACCTATAAGTATTTCATTGATATTTTCTATTTTCATCAGTATAAATATCGAATAATTTTGCAAATTAAATTTTAAAATAATCACATCACTAAATATTATTTATATCGATGATAACACCACTTAGATCAAATGAATGAATTTTTTTTTTTTGATACTCCACAAGATTTATGGTCAAAATTTTGACAATTATCATAATAATTTTGACGATTCATTTAAAAAATTTAAATTTTTTTGACAATTATTATAACTTATTATTTATTTTAGTCTTCTTGACAACTGGCAACCCAAAAAATCATTTTAAATATGACTAGTAATAAAATATATAAAAGAGTAGCACCTCAAGCATGTTTCATGATTTGCTTGGTAGTTGGGAATATAAATCATTGGGTGGCCCAAAGAAAAATTGTGATGTTACGTCAAGTTATATAATTGACATATGATAATTAAATTAAAAAAATGAAGATGAAAATACATACATATTAATTAATTAATTTTAAGATGATAAGAATATTTATAAAGGACACTTTTGTTATTTATTGCGTCACACATTGCTAAAAAAAGTTTCAAAAGTTTAAGAGCCGATAATAGAGTATTTTTTAGAAATTTAAGGTCATATCGATTCATTCTATCAATGAAATTTATTGAGAATCATGAGATCTTGGGTTGAAGTTTCATCAAAGGCAAAAATACCAATAAGTAATTTCTTTTTATTTGTCCAAAATCCTGATTAATAGAGTTATTTGATATTCTATCTATGTTGGTGGAACGTAGCAGACATCTCACAAAATTAGTCAAAATAAATGCAGGAGTAATAGATACCTCATATAATTAATCGAGGTACAAACAAATCGGCCTAAACATCACACTTATATATAAAAAAGTTATGAGTACATCCTAACACAATAAACTCTTTTAATCATGACCCTATATATATGTTAACATCTAAAAGACTTCAAATTTAATACATTTTCCGTTACAAAATAAGTGTCATTTTAGGAATTTCAACAATAATTAATAGTAATTGTTTCATCTATACCGTTATATTAAAAAAAAAAATCTTCTCAATAGTGTTCAGTTCTCAAGAAACATATACTAATAAGTAGATACAACTTAAAAAATGACACGTTACATTTATTAGAACAGAAGTAAATCAAGTGAGATGTGATGAAATTCTGAGCTCGAACCAATAAAGTTTAAATCTTGAATCCACGTCATCGGGGGACATATATAAGAAGACTTTTGAGCAATTGAGGTCACAATAAGACATTATATTATCCAACCAAAGAAACAAACATTTATTGCAAAATGGAGAGATTTTTTACAAGGTTTGATCAACTTCCAGAAGATATAATCATGGAGATATTATCAATTTTGCCTGTGAAATCCATACTGAAACTCAAATCTGTGTGCAAATACTGGTACACACTTATTCAATCTCCAAATTTTATTATCAAACATTTTTTCCACAAAAAAAATTATGAAATTCCCTTTGTTCATCTCTATTTTTTTGACACTAATCAATTATCTATTTCAATTGATGAATACCCTATGCTTCAAGATTTTTACTTGCACAAATCCACTTCTTTAAAGCCATTAATTGGCCCTTTGAATGGACTTTTTTTTGTGCATAATCTTGATAAGAATGAAATGTCTATGTGGAATCCTGCAACTGAGGAAATCAAGAAAATATCAGTACCAAGTCCACCTTTGTCTACTTGTTTTAGTGGTATCTGTTGTTCGGACTCTTCAAAAATGTTGCAGCACTCGTGTCAGATCCTCCAGAAATGCACTGTTTCTGGAGGTTCTGACACATTTTTGAAGAGTTCGAGTGACATAGATTTGAGGTTATGTTGTTCGGATTCTT